TAAAGGGTCCACTTCATAACGGTCTAATGATCATGACAAATATTTGTCATGTATCAAGGAGTGGGACAAAGTAGCAATGAATATTAGGGCACTAGAAGAAGAGTTGAAAATGAACTTAATGTTTGGAGGCTTTAAAGACCAACTAGGAGAATGTACAGGAGGATGTGGACATGCAGGTTGATCTGCAGGAGGGAGAGGGGCCACATGGTGGTAGGAACGTCACTAAGGAGGAGGACCGAGGTGGTTTGCTATGTGTTTATATGTGAAATTTTGGCAAAAATATCACTTTCATCCAAGTTCTTTGTGTAGGCACCGTCGATCGGAGATAGAGAAAAAGGTTTTATCAAGTTCTGGACCACCACGAAAAGAAAATGACCTTGTAATCCCTTCTTAGGTGATCCGCTGGCTTTACAAGCTAGAAATCGTTTAAAACTGAAAATAAATAAATAAATAATTAGAAAAATATGAAAAATAGGGGGAGTTTTAGAAATGGATTTTGAACTAGGGGAGATTTTGTAACTAAGTCAATAATAACAAAAATTAAAGTGAAAAAAAGAGAGAGAGAGAGAATCATGGGCCCACTTGCAAGCACATCCGGGTCAGCCCAAATCAGAGTCGTCAGTACAAGGTGACCGTTGCGGTGGTCTGATGAGGAGCTGAATCAGATGCTCTCAATGTTAGATTTGGATTGGAGTCGGAGATTTGGCCTTTGAGGAGATATGGACCGTGATGGACAAATGTACTTAGGATGGTCCTTAGGCTAGGTTTTTGAAGCTTTAGGGTTTGTGTGAGGTGCTCTGTAGGTGTAGGAGGGCCTATAGGGTCTAGGGCTAGGTCGGAGTTGAAACTAGTGTTCCTAGGGTGCAGGGTGTAAAATGGTCTTTTGGAAGGATTAGGAATTTGGGACCAAATGAAACCTTTTCAGGCCCTTAAATAGTATTACGTTGGGGCATTTATAGGAAAACTCTTGCAAAGTTGCGCATGCACTAAAGGGTTAGTCGCATAATGTGTGGGATGTGCCCACTAAAAGCAACCATTTTCAAATATTTTTGGGACATTTCACGGGGTTTTGGGTCTGCGACGAAAAGTCACAAGAGACAAATGTTTTGTTGCACCCAGGAGTTAATACGATAGGTTTTGGACGTATTGAAGGATTTCCATGAGGTTTTGGGTGTGTGACAAAAGGTTATTCTCAAGCGACAAAGTATTGGAAAATCTGGTGAAAAACAAGCTCTATAACAGGACTTTTTGTCGATAGTGTCAAAGGCCGTTAGCTTTCAGTCCACCCAGGAGAGTTTTCCGGCTTCTCGTAATGAGCGCAGCACAGCAAAGGGTGTTTGTGCCGAAGGAGGCGTTGGAGAATCGGTTGTTTGTTCTGACTCTATGGTCAGCCCGCCGAATCTCTTTCTTAACGATTTGAAAGGAGAACGTCTCGGTCCTATTTCATCAAGTATCGCTGTCAAGCACTTGTTTCATGCTATAGATTTGTAAGGTTCTTCAAGTCCGAACTTCTCGAGTGGTCCGGGGAAGAAGTTATTTAGGTCTCCTTCTTGGAATCGGTGTTCCAACACCTTCTCATAGAATCATAAAATTCGGTGTTGATATGCTTGGGCAAGATGTGCCGCTTTCAATCTCCTCTCGTCTAGCCCACTATATATATAAAAATGCTAAGATTAGCCCACTAACTCATATGAACATATGAGTCCAACGGTCGAGATTGAATCTGGGCCGATCTAACTATCAAGACCTCATTTTATATTTTAATTTTAATTTTTTTTACAAATCCAAATAACTTGAAATTTTAAGCATCCACTCTTCTCATCAAGACGCACCTAATAAAAATATTTAAAAAATATTTCACAAACTAAATTGATCGAAATACCCCTAAAGTATTCAGGGGTATTTTGATCAATTTATTTACTGCAAATTAATTTTTTGATATTTTTATTAGATTCTCCTATTTTTGAAGAATACACGTCTTAAATTTCAAGTTATTTAAATTCGTAGAAAAAAACAGTAAAATTTAAACATGAAATGACGTCGTTACCATCAGATCGGCGGAGATTCAATCTGAACGTTGGGCTCATATGTTCATATGAGCTAGTAGGCTAATCTCAGCATTTTCTCATATGAACATATGAGTCCAACGTTCAGATTGAATCTCGGCCGATCTGACAATCATGGATGTCTGACAGTGCTTGAATTTTTTTTATTTTTTTAAAAATCCAAATCGCTTGAAATTTTAATTGTGCGTTCTTCTCATTAAGGCGCACCTAATAAAAATATAAAAAAAATCATTCGAGAAAAAAATGACTAAAATACCCCCCCAAATATTTTTAGGGATATTTTGGTCAATTTATTTCATATAAAATATTTTTTTGATATTTTTCGAACATTCACCTTTTTTTATAAACACAATTCTAAAATTTTAAGTGATTTGAATTTGTAAAAAAATAAATAAAATTTAAATACTACCAGATTTCCGTGATCGTCAGATCGGCCCAAATTCAATCTGGGCCGTTGGGCTCATATGTTCATATGAGCTAGTGGGCTAACCCCAAATTTTTCCTATATATATATATATATATATATATGGTAATTGATAGAATGAGTTGTGAATGGTGGATTTATGTTTCTAGTATTTCTAGCATGATATGTTGTAGGCATTTGTAGGTCTAATGAATGAAAAGATGCCACAAACAATCCTAACTGATCTTGAGCAGGACTTGGGCTCTAAAAGAAGCAACCTATAAGGAAGTCCCCAACACTAAACATGCATTTTGTATATGGCACTTATTATTAAAATTATCTGGTTGGTTTTCGTTCCTCCTTGGTAAAAGATAAAACGATTCTTGGGTTCACGTTTTCCCTCCTTGGTAAAAGATAAAACGATTCTTGAGTTCACAAACTCTGCTTAGTGAATTGATAGATCATGTATAAGAAATAATGATCTCAATGTCTTCCTTGATATTTTGATATATTGGCATTTTATTCTTTATTATACTTATTTTTCTCTTTTTTGTAGTCGACAGTTGTTATTGAGATGAGAGATGTAGTGAGTCAAAGACGTTAGATGCAACAAAAGTCCAATAATGTAGATGTTCGAACAATGTGCCCTTTCGAAGACCATGCAGCACAGGTCTGAACTCTTTATGCATTTTCTAAGATACAAGAAAAAATTATTTCGTCTTTCCAATATTTGACATCTAGAAATGATGATGACATCTAGAAATGATGATAGAACCTATGAAGTGACACACTTTTCCAAGAAAGAAAAAGGGTGAAAAGTTTCTTTGATGGTTGAAGATAATGTTATGAATTACAGTTGTAAAGCGTTTAAGTTTACAGATATCATTTGCATTTGCAGGCATTCTCTTAATGTTCTCTTCAAGGAAAATTTTATTCAAATTCCAGATCGATATCTGCCAAAACGTTGGAGGCGCTCTACATCATTGATATCAAATGTTAGCTCGAGCACATCAGCTGCATATGTTGAGCGTGTCCAAACTATACAATAATTAGCATCAACAATTGGTACAAAAGGAACAAGAATTGATGATTGTTGCAAGTTCATTATGGAGCAATTTTCAAGAATTTTGGAACATGTTGAAGAAGTAGAATGCATGAGGTCTCCTATGGTTGATGAAACATCTAATGCAAGTCTAGCAACTGAAAAGGATGAAAATAGACTTCATTGTGAAAGCATCCATATAAAAAACTATGTTCAGTCTATCACAAAAGGGCGGTCTCCTGAAAAAAGGTTAAGCCCCATATTGAAGTAGCCAAGAAACTCAGATATTGTAAGGTTCCTTCACGTGGCCAAACTGGCTATGATTACAGGAATAGTCCATTAAGAAGAGGTTAATTTAGTAGGTAATCATTATATGTTAGAGAACAACCATTCTTGGTGTGATGTTGACACAATTTTGGGGCTAGAAATGCTACTTTGCATATGAGATGTTTGAACATTTACATGTGCTAACTTTGTAAATGTAATTTTGGAGCTGTACATAATGATTATTGTAAGGTTGAAATGTCGATACAATATTGATGTTGTGCATCAAATGTAATGAATATATTTTTACTTGATTAAATGCTCCATCTTTTGGTAATTCACTAATAGGATTTTCAAGCAAAGCATCATTCTTTGCCCCTTTATGGATATATCATTGATGTGTTGAAATATGAAATTGAGGTATGGCAGGCACAGCTGGGCAGCAATTGAGTTAGCGAGTTTTTATTGTGTTATAGGTGGCAATGGGTCGCTGCTGGTTCCCACTAGTTCTAGCAATAATGCTTGTGTCTTTTGTGGTATTGATGACAATAAGTTGCTGCTGATTTGCCCCACCAGTTCGAGTGATAATTTCAGGTATATTACTAAAATCGACAAGGACAAGTACATGTATAACAAATAATAGTTATTTTGCATATTTTCTTTTGGTCTTGTCTTAAACACAACAAACCCATTTCACTGATACCTCGTCTTTGTTTCTAACTTGAATAGATTTGAACAAGTTGGTTTGAAGTTACAGGATCAATATCATTTAACTATTGTGACATGTTATCTGCTACCTGTATAATATTGCAAGAGTTGATGTACTTAAGTGTCTAACATAATTGTTCCTAATATACAATAGAATGGAAAGAGGAGGAGCAGAACATTGCAATTATAGTATTCTTGGTTTATCACATGTCTGTTTAGAGATAAAGATCTCAACTTCTACACTTTTACAACTCAAAAGACCACTATGTCGAGTAGAATCAGCTCCTAAACTGATTATTTATTCACTGCTTATAAAATAAAATGGCTTTTTCAATCTACTTACCATTTCTTGTTTCATTAAATTGGAAGGATGATCATCTCTTCTTCTTTACTGGAAGTAATAATGCAGGGGTTATGGGTACACCATTCCAGCTTTCTGAAAATAGAATAGAACTGCAATTCGCCATGAATCACATAGGTACGAAATACATAGCAGAGAGAAAGAGAGAGATGGTCAAAACACAACTTCCCATTGAATAAGAAAAACTTTATTAATGTAGGCACAAGATAAAATACATTAATTGTTTTAAAAGTTAAGAGAGAGAGAGAGTAAGTGATATCTCCCTTAGCATTGCTTGCATAAAATTCAAATTCGAATTATATGATTACAACTTTGTTACATCTCTCTCTGTCTCTATCAAGAATATTTTTTGGCCTTGAAAATACATGAGCAAGAAGCTCTCACGCCTTCTACTTAATGGCTTTGAAACCAAATATCTTCACCACCACACTTCAAACCAGAGGCTCTACACTCACTGCCCCATACAGTTCCCCATTCAAAATACGCAGAGTAAGCTATGAATCTCCCAATTCTTGATCCTAATTATTCAAGTCTAGCAAGGCAGAGAATTGATCGAACAAATAAAACCAAAACCATTACTCAATAGAATTTAATCCTTTAGTTATGAAAAGAACAAGAAATCATCAAATAAACAAAACCATTACTCCAGCCTTTCCTATCATCAAATAGTTATTATACTGAAAATAACAATTAATCATTCACTTGATCCAAAATTTAATCCTTTAAGTATGAAAAGAATTGCAGAATCAAAGAAAAACTGGAATCAAAACATGAAAAATGGCTGGGGCATATTTTCAAACATTTGGACTCTGAAGAACATTTGGAATCAAAGAAATACTGGAATCAAAACTGTGGTATATTTGGTTACCAAAGCCTAAAGAACACTTACTCTCTCTAAAAATTACTTTTGGATCTCAGCAGAGAGGGCATACAATTTTAGAAAAGGCCCATCTCTCTAAAAATTGAATCAATCGTATCTAAGAAACAAATGCACAAATACCACACTAAGAGCCTTTCGTTGAGAGAGATGGAGCAAGCAGAAAATTGTGTGCCCTCTCTCATTCTTGGTGAGATCCAAAAGTACTTTTTAGAGAGAGTAAGTGTTCATCAAGCTTTGATAACTAAATATACCACATGTTCAGTTATTGTGACTGAATCACAAAAAAATCTCAAAAATTAAATTCTACCTGGTGTGATCATAGAGTAACAAAAAATCCCAAGAATCAACATTGTAAATTGTAGTAAAAAAGTCCCAAAAATAAAACAAAAAGAAAAGAAAAGAAATGGCATTGAGTGTGGCATTCGTACCTCGTGCGATCGGAGATCTCCATAGCTGGGATCACATGAAGGTGAAAATTAGGGTTTTCTTGAGGTAACAACTAAGGTGTCTATCTGTAAAAAAAAAAAATGTGCAGAAAAGCACTTCCATTTTTTCCTAGCATTTTAGCATTTTTTCTGATCAAGCGAGAGAGGGCTGGGGAGGGCAAGGCGAGAGAGATCAGGTGAGAAAGGATAAGGGACGGCAAGGAGAGAGATAAAATAGAAAGGCGCGTGAGAGAGGAGAGCGAGCGGAGGCCTAAATTTTGAAATTTAAAGTATGATTTTTTCAAATTTGAAGTAAAAGTCACAAATACCCTTCAATAAGTTTTGGTGCTCAAATAGTATAGGGGCAATAAAAGAAGTTCAAAACTTTTTCGAACTTGAACTTGTTTTTGGAGGTCGTTAATCGTAGAAAATCATATATATATATATATATATATATATATATAGAAAATAGGTGAGCCGGTTCGCTCATAGATTTTTTGTGAGCCGTACGGGTCAGATTTAGTCAACTTAAATGGACGGCTCGCGTAGCTTTTGGGGGTTGAAAATTTAAAGCCAGGGTGTCAGCGATAAAGTTGTTCGGCCTACGAGTAGCCCTGCGAAACCTCTCTCTTCTGCGCGTAAACCTCCCTCCCTCTCTCTTCTGCAAAAATAGGAAAACATCTCTCCCTCTCTCTCTCCTGCAAAATCCTCTTTTGAGGTAAAATCCATACTCTCCCTCTCTCTCTCTCTCCCCTGTAAAACCTCCTTTTGTTTCATCCTGTTTGAAAACCACAAAGAACCAACCCTGCGAGCAGCAACAACCAGCAAGACAACAAGCAACATTCTCTCTCTCTCTCCTGGTCTTCTTAAAAAACCAACCCTGCGAGCATCAACGAACAGCAAGCTGAATGAGGCAAAGCTCTCTGTCTCTCTCACCAGGGCAACAAGACAACGATTGGAGGGTGTTCCTCTATCTCTCTCCACAAAGCACAACAAAGGTATGGATTATGCTTCAAGCTTCATTGCTTATAGTGATTTCAAATTAGAGCTTCTTTTTTTTTTTTGACTTTACATAAGAGCTTTGTATCAATGGCTTTCAAATTAGGGCCTTTTTTTTTTCAATTCACATAAGAGCTTTGTTATTGTATCAGTGGCTTTCAAATTAGGACTTTTTCGGAATGTTGTTTTCTCTCAATTTTTTATCTAACCTATTGTGAGAGTAAAAAGGACCAAATTTTGATGTTAGTTGTTGATTTAAGATGCTAACAAGGTCCAAAATATTTTTTTTTGAATTTTGTGGCAAGTTTCAATTTGTCAAATTTGCCAAGAATGTTTGTGATTTCTTTCTACCAAAAGTTAATGTTCTTAAAGTATTTATAGATCAAACTTGACAAAAACAATCAAATATTAGTTTTGAGTTATTTTAAACCGAACATGGTTTTGTTTTGGACCTGATCATCCGAGGAACCACTGGTGGTTAGCTATCCGACCAGTCGGTTCGTGCGGTTTGATTCAGTCTTGATAACCATGCAAGATGAGGAACTTACTGATTTAGGTATATGTTGAGGGAAATTTATGTACATATCATGGTAAATTTATGGAATTACCCTTCGGGCATAATTTTCGAAATCTTAAAATGATGCCATTCTTCTTTTTTCTTTTTTTTAATTTTGCTATTGGTTTGATGTTGCCATCTATTTTTCCCTAATATCTAGGGCAGTTCAATACCCAAATTATTGGATGGGCCGATTTCTTGGGCGGTGATCCCATATTGGAAACAACAAACTACCTTAATATTCAATATGGTGAGTTTTGAATGGGGTCATCCGATGTTTGCTACAATGAACTACTTTTAAAATATAAGACGAATAAAAAAATGGGTTTTATTATATTAGTAACATTCAACCATCCAATATTTAGAATTTTTGGTTTGTTAATGGTTCAAACATGGTGGAATTGATGTTGCATTGTGAAGTCATACAATTTTGAGTCATGGTTTCTTTTCATTAGGTTTGTTTCCTTTCAATCATGAAGTTTTTTACTTTGTTAATGGTTCAAATAGGGTGAAATTGATCTTGCTTTGTGAAGTCGTACAATTTGGAGTCATAATTGATTTTTTTTTTCATTAGGTTTGTTTCCTTTCAATGATCAAGCACTTTTGTCTATTAATGGTTCAAACAGGGTGGAATTGATGTTGCTTTGTGAATGGTTTGTTATTTTCCAAGTGAGAGCTTTCTATTCATTAGTATGCTCATTGAATTTAAAATTAGGTGTTCAATGAGATGGAAACCTGTAAACATAATTAGTTTTAAACTAGTGATTATAGATTGGACCTGAAATAAGATGTGTTTTGTGTAGGATAATTATAGTACCTAAGATGGACATCACCATTTCAAAAAGTGTGACACCACCTATACTGTTAGACGATGACAACGTTGGGATAATGTACACCCCATGGAGATTGATCCCTTGCTTGCAACCCCCTCCCCCAATAAGTTCACAAATTTCAAAAACGGGGAATGTGCGTCCTCATCCAAGGGGTCAGAAATAGAGGAACCCCAAATAGGAATGATATTTAGTGCTGAAAATGATGCATATGAGTTTACAAGGTTTATGCATTGGTGCATGGGTTTTGTATTAGAAAGGGAAGTACTCACAACAATAAGGATGGACAAAGAATTGATAGGGAATATAAATGTTCAAAAGAAGGATTCCACAAGGAGAAGGAAGTGTTACGTAAGAAAAATTGTCCTCAGACAAGGTGTGGTTGTGCAGCGAAGATGTCAATAACCATAAATGCTAATAATGAGTGGGTTGTTTCACCGTTTGTTAAGGAACACAATCACGACCTTGTAACTCCGAGGAAAGCTCGACTCATCCGATCGCATCGCACAATATCAGATGCGACAAAGATAATGATAAACTCCATGAGCTCTGCTTTGTAAAGTCTCGGAATATCTATGATATATTTTTAGAGCAGGCTGGAGAGATTGATAATATCCCTTGCTCACAAAAAGACATTGAGAACCAATTAGGAAATAAGAGATTCAAAGGGGAAGATGACAATCGTGCAATGCAATGGTTAATCGATATGAAAATATCGAATCCACCTTTTTTCTATAAGGTGAAATTAGATGAACAAAATCATATTGTCAGCCTACCATGGGTAGATGCCATGTCAAGGGTGTTCTACTACTATTTCTCGGATGTAGTTACTTTTGATACCACATATAAGACAAACTCTTTTAGCATGCCCTTTGCTCTCATACTTGGAGTGAATCGCCACTTTAGCACAATATTTTTTGGGTTTGCACTTTTATTTGATGAGAAGGTAGATTCCTTTGTATGGGTATTTGAAAATTGGCTAGAGGCAATGGGTGGACGCCAACTGGGCATAATTATCACATATCAGGATCCTGCATGACCGCTGCAGTGAGACAAGGTTTGAATAGAAGCATACATCATTATTGTAAGTGGCACATACTTTCAAAGGTTAAAGAAAAATTGTGTCATGTCTTGCGAAGGAGTCCATCTTTTATAGAAATATTCAGGAACTGTATAATGAGGTCAACTAAGGAAGAATTTGAGTCATAATAGAAATCTCTCATTGAGACATATGATATTTATCAGAATGAATGGCTTAATAGATTGTATAGATGTCAAAAGCAATAAATTGATGCATACATGGCAGATGCATTCACAGCCGGTATGTCATCGACTCAAAGAAGCAAAGAAATGAATAAGTATTCAAATATTATGTGACTTCCAATACCAGCTTGCGCATATTGTTAGAAACTTCTGTAAAGGTGCATGATAAAAAACTTCTTAAGATGAGAGAAAATGACTTAAAGAACAGCACAAGTACACCTGTTTTGAAGATCACATGTGGCATGGAGGCTCATGCTTCGAAAATATATACACACAAAATTATGAAGTTGTTTAGTAAAGAAGTTGTAAAAGGCATCAATTACACATTATTGAAGAGAATGGCACAATCGCAATCTTCAAGGTATCAAACCATGGAACTGGAACAAGGGCTATAATGTAGAGTTCAATAGTCACAAGCAAACTTCTTTCTATTCTTGCTACATGTATGAGAGGCTAGGTATTATTTGTAGGCATGGGATTAGGGTCTTGATGGTGAGAAATATTTTTGAAATCCCATCGCATTACATAATGAGGAGGTGGACGAAGGATGTGATGGCAGGTGTTGTACTTGATGCCAATGGGAAACAAATTCAAGGTACTTCTGATCTACCCCATTCCATTTGTTTTAATGAAGTTAGTCAAGCCACTAGAGTACTTGCAGAGCATGCGGCAGACTTTGGACAAGTCCACGCATTTATAATGTCTGAGGTAGCAGGTACAGTTGCAAGGGTTGAGGACAAGATCAGGGAGGTCGTAGATCCAGATGGTGGTATTAGAACCACTTCCTGCAGTCATACTGAGAATTATAGCAAAAACGTTGAGTTTGAAGGACATGCATGCCATAACATCCTTGAACCCCCCGAGCACGAACAAATGGGAGACCTACCAATGATATTTATGTATCTCGGACTGCGATAGAGGCAGAGAAAACAAAAGCAAAAAATAAGGAAGCTACGCGAAAGTGGGCAGCTTGCAAAGGGAGTGGACATGACAGATGAAATTGTCTATCTCTCATAAAAATTGTCTATCTCTCATAGTTCAAAGTATGAATGAACTGTTGCTCAATCTTTCATACTTTTTGTGATCTTTTTTTCCTTCCCTTTGTGGTTTTAATATTAATTCTTTATTGTTAAATATTTGAAATGGGTTTTTTTCGTTTAGGTCAAATGTCATTATAAGACGCACAGATGGGTCATTGGAGCATGTGGAATATGATGAGTAATAGTAAGCATTTTTTGTGTTTTGCATTGTACTCAATAAACAAGTCCTTTAATTGATTTGAAATTTTTATGCATGTGTGGTTGTTAATGCAGTATCGTATGTGTTAATGAAATATTAATTGTTTTAGATACTCTAGTCAAATAATATCTTTAGTGAAATAGTTGATTGATATTCATTGTGGTGATATTCATTTTAGCATTACTGACATCCCTATATTTGTAAAATGGGATGTAGTTGGACTGTTCTGAAATTGATTATTCAATTTGACTTTGAGTTTTTCTTGTCAGTTTGAAAGTGCACTAGATCCAAAGTTTCCCAGACACCTTCTGGTTGAACAATGTCAGGTGTGCCTCAGGTTTACCTATCAAATCTCTTCTTTAGGGATTTAGTCCTAAAGAAGAGAAACCCAGTAATCTATATAATTCATCATACTGATCTATATGCTGCATTTAATTACACAGTCTTTCTAACTATTCTCTTTCTTTTGCTATCTTTTTTTTCGCCTTTAGTTTCTAATAAAATTTATTAAAAAATGCATTTGATCAACTGTTCAGCTACCCAACACCATGAAAGACTAGTTTTAGCTCTCAAGGACTTTTTGTGCTAATGGCGAGAACTTACTGTGATTCTTTTCTTTGTCACCGTGGTTATGGAAGGGAGAGAGATATTTGCAGTTTTATCGAGTGGCTCAATTGTTTGAGCTAGTTTACTAAAATGCTTTGGGCACTTGAGCCACCTAGTACATTAGGAATGAACTTCCACAAAACTATTTGGTAAATGTGATGTACAAAATCACGAGTGGTATGTGCTCATTGCTCTCACTCTCACTTCTACACATATTGCAATTGTTTTCCAATTGGAGACTCCATCTTTGGATCCTATCATTAGTGATAAGCCTATTTTAGTAGGCCAAAAATAGGCCCCGGGGTGAATTGGGCTCTTCCATATGGCCTTTAGAATATGATTTCTAATCCCATTTTCTCTAATTGCATTGTGTGAAATTGTATTGCATTCTACTGCTGTCCCTTGTTTACTATATCGCTTTATGGCCAGGTCGCAACCTCACGAAGCAGACAAGGCAATGATTGAAATCAAGAAGCAGTATGCTATTTTTTATGCGAAAGTTTTAAGTTCACAAAATGTGGTTACAATATATATGTACTTATAATGGCTTCGTAATGGCTTGTCTTTGAATTTCACTCTCTCAGACCTTCGAAATGTTTGAAGGCTTCTTGTAATGGCTTGACTTTGAATTTCTATCATTGGTTGGTTTGTGCCCAATGCTAATTTGTTATTGCACAGCAAGCAGAAGTGCTTGTTGCTCATCCCATCTTCGATTTAGGTTTTCCTTTATACCATATACCACTAAATCATTGGTTTATTTGTCTATTTCCACTTCTGATCCCTAAATGAATCCATTCTAACTTTTCTTTCAATTTCTGAATTCATACCAATTGAAAGATTTTCAGCTACAAACAACGGCTGAAAACACATGGTAACCTTCAAGAACACAGAGACAGGGGCCCTCTATTTTTCTCATTATCTTTAGACGTAAATTATAGATGCTTGAACTCTCGCTCGCTATCAAAGCACAATAAAAAACCAATACATAATGTCCTTGAGATAATATCTTTGAATTGGAATTGCATAGCAAATAATACATGTTTACATTATCAAAAAAACCCTTTTGCTACTTTCAACTACAACATTTTCCATAAAAGGAGAATAAGTTAAATTCCACAATGGGAATAATTATATTAGTAAAAAGGCAACCCTTAGTAAAAAAAACAATTTCAAGTTAGAAAGTATCACATGTTTCTAATGAAAAATATAAAAATAAACAAGATGAGAGCAAGCAAGCACACATTTATTATACACAAGAAATACAAAAATTGTTACTAACGTGCAAAGGTACCTAAGTAAGAATTTATGCATGTGCCCTATGTCAACGAGTATCGCATCATACCCCAACACTTGTTTCTTGATTGACCATGACACGTTCTTCTGATTCTTGTACTGGATTCCACTGTCGTGTATTGCGATGTCTTAAATTGACATTTTCTACAGTGCCAATATATTCATCACACCATTGGAAGAACCCACATATGGGACATCTATAGTACAGCCTGTTCGGGTTACTTTGGCTTCTTGATGCTATCTTAGCACAATCTATACTGCACATTGGGCATTGTCGAGTTGTATACCTCAATTACTTGTAGAATGAAATGACATTGTTAAGGCCTACAATAATCATATCAATACCACACTCTGAAGGTCTAAATAAGTTCGGATTTCAAGCACATCATAACATTCATTGCAAATATGTCAATAATAATTTTAACAATAACCATGACAACAACAACAATCATCACCACCTCTATCATCACCACCTCTATCGTGAGGCCCAAAATACTCCACAGAGCAACATTAATTCCACCTTGTTTGAACCATTAACAAACCAATATTCTTGATGATGAAAGGAAACAAACCCAATGAACAAAACGCAATCACTAATCAAAGCAACATTAATGGATGCCATCCGAGTTTAAATTTATTTATTTTTCAAAATATGACTTCACATAGCAACATCAATTCCGCTCTGTTTGAACCATTAACAGACCAAAAAGCTTCATGATTGAAAGGAAACAAACCTAATGAAAAAAAATTAATCACTTAACAGAGCAACATCAATGGATGCCATTCGAGTACTATAAAAAAAAAAAAAATACTCCAAATTATATAACTTCACAGAGTAACATCAGTTCCACCCTGTTTGAACCATTAACAGACCAAAAAGCTTCATGATAGAAAAGAAACAAACCTAATGAAAAAAAATCAAACACTTAACAGAGCAACATCAATGGATGCCATTCGAGTATTTTTAAAAAAAAATTCTCCATATTATGACTTCAGAGACCAACAACAGTTCCACCCAGTTTGAACCATTCACAGACCAAAAGGCTTCATGATTGAAAGGAAACAAACCTAATGAAAAAAAATCAATCACTTAACAGAACAACATCAATGGATGCTATTCGAGTATTTAAAAAAAAAAAAGTCTCCAAATTATGATTTCACAAAGCAAGATCAAATCCACCCTGTTTGAACCATTAGCAAACCAAAAAGCTTCATGATTGAAAGGAAACAAACCTAATGAAAAAAAATCAATCACGTATCAGAGCAACATCAATGGCTGCTATTGGAGTATTTTAAAAAAAAAATTTCTCCAAATTATGACTTCACATAACAACATCAGTTCCACCCTATTTGAACCATTAACAAACCAAAAAGCTTCATGATTGCAAGGAAACAAACCTAATGAAAAAAACCAATCACTTAACAGAACAACATCAATAGATGCCATTGGAGTATTTAAAAAAAAATAAAAAATTCTCCAAATTATGACTACAGAGCAACATCAGTTCTACCCTGTTTGAACCATTAACAACCAAAAAGCTTCATGATTGAAAGGAAACAACCTAATGAAAAAAAATCAACCACTTCCCATAACAACATCGATGGATGCCATTCGAGTATTTTTAAAAAAAAATTCTCCAAATTATGATTTCACAGAGCAACATCAATTCCACCCTGTTTGAGCCAATAACAAACAAAAAAGCATCATGATTGAAAGGAAACAAACCTAATGAAAAAAAATCAATCACTTAACAAAGCAACATCAATGAATGCCATTGGAGTATTTAAAGAAAAAAAGCTCTCCAAATTATGACTTCACAGAGCAACATCAATTCCACCCTGTTCGAACCATTAACAAATCAAAAAGCTTCAAGATTGAAAGGAAACAAACCTAATGAAAAAAAATCAATCACTTAACATATAACATCAATGGATGTCATTCGAGTATTTAAAAAAAAAAAATTCTCCAAATTATGACTTCACAAAGCCACATCAATTCCACCCTGTTTGAACCATTAACAAACCAAAAAGCATCATGATTGAAAGGAAACAAATATAATGAAAAAAAATCAGTAGGTTCTAAATTTCATGTTTCAAGCATTCAACTTTTTCAAGCATCTTGGTTTTTAGCAGGACATGAGCAGAGTCTATATATAGGCATGACTTTTTTTTAAAAAAAATGTTAACTTGGGACCTCTCGAGCCTAAGGTTCAACCACACTGGAAGACTCCATAAAATAGTTGGACTCCATTGCTAGTAATCGAGTCCACGATGAAATGAATTAGAAATAAACAAAGCAAACTGGTGTCCCATTTTCTTATGAGAAGGATTTTTCACCAAAAATCACAATAATCCGAAAACTATAACGAGGTTGAGATATCTCACGCCAACAAGTAATAAAAAAAAAAAATACTACTACATATGATATAACAAATATGTTTCAAGGAATCAAATCAATTCCTTTTTCTAATTTTTCATTTGAAGGCCACAAATATGAAGATGCGAATCGCATCTTAAATCAACAACTAACAAAAAAATTTGCTTCTTTTCACTCTTACAATAGGTTAGATAAAAAATTGAGAGAAAACAACATTTCGAAAAAGCGCTAATTTGAAAGCCACTGATACAATAACAGAGCTCTTTTGTGAATTGAAAAAAAAAAAGGCCCTAATTTGAAAGCCACTGGTACAAAGCTCTTTTGTAAAGTCAAAAAAAAGAAAGCCCTAATTTGAAAGCACCATAAGCAATGAAGCTTGAAGCATAATCCATACTTTTGTTGTGCTCTGTGGAGAGAGATAGAGGAACACCCTCCAATCATTGTCTTGTTGCCTTGGTGAGAGAAACAGAGAGCCTTGCCTCATTCAGCTTGCTGGTCGTTGATGGTCGCAGGGCTGGTTTTTTACGAAGAGCAGGGGAGAGAAAGAATGTTGCTTGTTGTCTTACTGGTTGTTGCTGCTCGCAGGGTTGGTTCTTTGTGGCTTTCAAACAGGCTTAAGCAAAAGAGGGTTTTGCAGGGGAGAGAGAGAGAGGGAGAGTCTGGATTTTGCCTCAAAATAGGGTTTCGTAGGAGTGAGAGGGAGAGATGTTTTCTAT